ACGCCTCCTCCTACCCTTCTTTTTTCCCGACCCTCACAACAGTCTTTTCCTTCAAAAGCATTCTGATTCCTCCTTGCTTATATGCTTACTGTTGCCCCCACACATTGATTTCACTGACCCTACTAGCCCATAAATTTTTTGGCTTATTGTTGGAATATTCGTGGCCTCAGGGGTAATCGGGAAAAACTCCAAGTGTTGCTCTTTCAGTTTTCCCCAATATGTGTCAGGTTACAAGAACCCAAAATTTGTTCAGCTGTTTATTCGTCCCGTTTCGGGCTATGTGCTGTTTCATTCTTCTGATCCCTTTCCTGTTGAATCATTTAATGAGAGTGCACTTCTTGTTCACATTGGGTATACCATTATCAACAAGTTTTTGTTCGTTCTCTGCTGCATTTTACTGCAGTTCATATTTATTTACACAGATGGCATACAGTTTGTCTCTGTTTTCTTTTCCCCCCCATGCATTCTGTATCTTGGATATTGCATTTTTAATCTCTACCCCCAGCCCATCTTGTTAGGTGATTTTAGCACTCATGATCATCTGTGGGGAGGGGCCCACTGTGACTCTCATTGTGATCAGTTTGGGGACTCTTCTCGCTTCTCATCCTCTTAATGTTTTAAATATGGGTGCTCCCACCCCTTTTGACTCTCCCACTCAGTCTCTCTCTTGTATTAATCTTTTGTTCCTCGTCACTTGTACTTGATTATGCCTTTTGGGCTGTTTCTCCCCGGGTTTTCATGACTGATCATTTTCCTATTCTTACTTCTACATATTTCCCGACCCCCTCGTAGCCCTCGTTGGCAATTTGCCCACCGCGAATTGGGACATATACTCTCATCTTACCACCTTTTGTGGAGGAGCCTCTTTCGTCCTCTATTGATGAACTGGTACCCAGTTGTCGACTTCAGATTTAATTGCGGCGTCACGTTCTATTCCTCAAACCTCAGGCAGGCATTCTCAGACATGCAGTGCCTTGGTGGCCTCATACGTGTGCCTGTGGAGGGCGTTTGAAACGTGTCTTACCCATGGGTATCCCAACGACGTCCTATTCCTCTCTGTGAGGATTGTCGGGTCCCTATTTCGGTTCTTCACTTTCATGTCAATCGCCAAGTTTACCAGCGAGCTCGCAGGATTTACCTCCAACGCCGCCACCACCCTGCCATCTTACCTTATCTTTCCTTCTTGCAGACGGCCCTGCCTTTGACTTACAATCACTTTTTGACTTTGTCAGCAACTGCTTTACTGTACGAACTTTGACACATAGCCCTTAGTATAATTTCCGACCCTTTTCTCCTCTCACCTGTGATTCCCTCTCCACCTAGCTGTTTATAGCCTCAGCACTATTTTCTGCCCCGCAGTATAACCCTTGTCGGTTTAGGGCTTTCTTTGATTATAATAATTCTCTAGTAATCACACTAAAACAAAAGTATGGAAATATCCCATGTAGCAGTGTGCATAGGTCACCCATGCATGCAAATACTTCCATGAATCTTGCTCAAGAAGCATTATAGAGCATTAAAACTTTGACGGCGATCATATGAGGCGTTCTCGTGTAATAACGAAAACTTGTGATAATGGAAATGAAGATGTTGCTGACAATGTTAGAAAAAAAAAAACTCCTCTCGTTAAACTTAAAAACTGCAAAAAAAAAATCTCGGATTTTAATTATTTTTCCCAGTTTACTTATCAGATTTACATTATATTGAAAATTCTCTCCAATTCATTAAGAAAAAATATTTTATTTAGAGTTTTTTGAAAACCTAATTTCATGAAAATGGGTAAAAGAAAATCGGGAGTTTAGTACCCAGACAGTTCAAAATTAAAACAAAAACCTTATTAAGCTTCACAAGCATTTCAGTTTTGAAGCTGATCAGAAGACGCATTCACTAGAAAATACATTGTTTAACAAAATTGTCAAATTCAAATTTACACAGCTCAAAATGAAGCCGATCAGCAAAGATATTCTTCAGTAATTGATCAAATTCCAACGCTTCCAAGTTCATTTTTTTAACTATTTCTGTAAAATTTTAAATTTACACCTATTAGGGCTAAATATATTGGTTTTCTTAATTTTATAAAACATCTTCAAAAATATTTTGAAGCAAATCAGAAGTAATTTTTGAACAAAATTAGCAAAATGGAGCTTATGTCACCGAATTTCTGATTAAAATATAACAATTGTCAACGGCATGTGTGTGTGTGTGTGTGTGTGTGTGTGTGTGTGTGTGTGTGTGTGTGTGTGTGTGTGGTGTTGGTGGTGGTGGGGGTGCGGGGGTGTGCGCGCCCCTTTTATATGTGAAGGCAGGGGTTGAGTCTCAGTTCGTGAACCCACCTCATCGCTAGCTGCTACTAGGTTCACTCTTTACTGGCTTCATAAGAACATAAGAAGGAACACTGCAGCAGACCTACTGGCCCATGCGAGGCAAGTCCAGCTCTTCTACCGGCTTAAGCCATTGCCTTAACCTAGTCAGATCAGGTCATGTTCACTTAAGGAAAGAGCACGGCATCTGACACAGTAGCGCAAGCTAGTCAGGTCCAACTCGCATCCACCCACACTCACTCATGTACTTATCTAACCTATTTTTAAAGCTACACAATGTCTTAGCGTCTATGATGGTACTCGGGAGGTTTGTTCCACTCATCCAGAACTCTCTTACCAAACCAGTGCTTTCCTATATCCTTCCTAAATCTAATTTTTTCCAGCTTAAAGCCATTCCTGCGAGTCCTGTCTAGGCTAGATATTTTAGCATGATATTTACATCTCCGTCATTCAATCCTGTTTTCCATTTATACACCTCATTCATTTTTTTTAACAAATCGGCCGTCTCCCACCGAGGCAGGGAGGCCCAAAAAAGAAAGAAAATCCCCAAAAAAGAAAATACTTTCATCATTCAACACTTTCACCTCACTCACACATAATCACTGTTTTCGCAGAGGTGCTCAGAACACAACAGCTTAGAAGCATATACGTATAAAGATACACAACATATCCCTCCAAACTGCCAATATTCCGAACCCTTCCTTTAGAGTGGGTACTGTACTTCCCATTTCCAGGACTCAAGTCCGGCTATATAAAAATAACCGGTTTCCCTGAATACCTTCACTAAACATTACCCTGCTCACACTCCAACAGATCGTCAGGTCCCAAATACCATTTATCTCCATTCACTCCTATCGAACCCACGCTCATGCACGCCGCTGGAAGCCAAGCCCCTCCCCACAAAACCTCCCTTACGCTTCCCTTCCCCAACCTTTTCGAGCCACCCCCCCTACCCCGCCTTCCTTCCCCTGCAGATTTATACGCTCTCCATGTCATTCTTTGATCCATTCTTTCTAAATGACCAAACCCTCTTCAGCCCTCTGATTAATAATTTTATTAACTCCACACCTTCTCCTAATTCCACACTCCAAATTTTATGCATAATATTTAACAGCACATATTTCCCCTTTGACAGGACTTCTCCACTGCCTCCACCGCCCTCCTCGCTGCAGCATTCACAAACCCAAGCTTCACCCCCATATAAGAATGTTGTACTACTTTTACTTTATTACATTCCCATCTTTGCCTCCATAGATAAAGTGTTTTGTCTCCACATATACCTCAATGCACCACTCACCTTTTTTCCCTCATCAGTTCTATGATTAACCTCATCCTTCATAAATCCATCCACCGACACATTAACTCCCAAGTATCTGAAAAACATTCACTTCTTCCATACTCCTCCTCCCCAGTTTGATATCCATTTTTTCTTTATCTAAATCATTTGATACCTTCATCACCTTAATCTTTTCCATGTTCACTTTCAACTTTCTACCTTTACACACACTCCCTAGAATCTCCCATGAGCACAGTATCATCAGCAAAAAGCAACTGTGTCAATTCCCATTTTGTATTTGATTCCCCATAATTTAATCCCACCCCTCTCCCTAACACCTTAGCATTTACTTCTTTTACAACCCCATCAATAAATATATTAAACAACCATGGTGACATTACACATCCCTGTCTAAGACCTACTTTTACTGGGAAGTAGTCTCCCTCTCTTCTACACACCCTACAGTTCAAGAAAATGCAATTTACCCATTCCTCTCTCTCTCTCTCTCTCTCTCTCTCTCTCTTCTCTCTCTTAGGGTTTGACAAGGTTAGGCTCAGGATCCCTAGCTTTATTGACAAATTAAGGATTCCTAACTTTATTGACAAGCAAAGAGTTGTTACCTACATCAGCTCATTTGAAAGCATTTTATTGTTATGAAACATACAAGTAGGAAACAGGACGAATTTTCTCTCTCTCTTTCTCCCCTGCTTCACTTTTGTTATCTAGTTATAGAACTTCAGCAGGTGTGACACAGGATTTTCCATCCCTAAAGCAGTGCTGGTTGCCATGTATGAACCCACTCCTTTCTAGGCACTCCACTACTCTTTAGAT